GGCCACGGTGTAAGATTCGTCGAGTTCCCGGTACGGACTCCTCCAAGCCTCGAAGCCGGGTTCAAGACCTGGCCGTCATCAACCCCAGCCAAGTTCAACTTATCTGGTGATCAGAGCTACATCAGTGATAAATTCGGGTCCTGGACAGCAGCCGTGACCGCAACCGGTGGTGTTCTTGGTGTTGGAGGCTATGCTCGCTATAGCAGAGCATTATCTCTTCCCAGCTGGTTGGCTACCTCTCCTTCACCCCCGCTGCTCTTCGAAGCCGAAGCTTGCACAGATGCATTCCAGGGGAAGCACCTAGCCTTGCGCAGCCTATTCTCCGTGAGCCGCTCATCCAAGCTGGGTCTGGAGGTCGCCATCACAGAGCACTCCCTGCATCTGTCTCTACACTGGTCGCGCCTCGGCCAACGCCTCACCCTCCCTCTCCTCATCTCAACATACCAAACTTCCATAGCCTCCAGCAGGCTAATTTTCTGGACATCGACAGCCACGTTAGCCGCCGCCGCCGCCTACAACTTCTTCTTCCCCTCCGCAGCAAGACGTTGCCAACGTCCTCGCCACCAGGGGCGAGTGACACCCGCTGCAGTGGCTGCCCAGCGCCATCGCGCCGACCTCCTCACGACCCTCCTCGCACACCCGGTCACCGCTCGCCAGAAGCACCTCTCCCTGGCCGGCGGGGGGGATAGCCTGGTGATTCTTAGCGCCAAGTTTGGTGTCCAGGAGGGGGACGGGTCCAGCTGGGGAGGGGAGGAGGTGGCCGATGTGACGATTGCGCTGGCGGCGCTGCTGAGCGAGGAGGGGCGGAGGCTTGTTCTTCCTCGTGGGCTGCGGCTGGCCAGCATTCCGGGATTCTGGGATCCAGACCCGGAGAAGGAGAAGACGCTGTTTGTGAGGTATTCGTGGAGAGGGAGGGAGAATGTGGTGGAGGTGAAGGGAGAGGATGGACTGGTTCTTCCTCCCGGGGAAGGTTGACAGCCAAATACTTGTGTTTATGATTTTTTACGATTGATGGCAAATTCCATATATGTATCTGGGAGATAAGTAGTGTAATGTGTTGGTTTCACTTGTGGTTTGAGAGAAGCTTGGTTTGGATGGGTTCAACAGGTGAAACTAAATCATGTCGTGTCCGTGTCGTGACATCAATACATTTAGCACTCTATAGAGCCCTTGGTTGACTGTCCCAACGTACGGTCGCGTAATAGACAGTTAAGACATCTTACGAATCTAGAATGTTATGAACAATGAGCTCATCTCTTGGTCGAAGGCGATCACGGGTGTAGGGTAGCCTATCGCCCGCGGACTCCGGGAACGAATACGATAGGCTTACCTAAGCCTCTATTGCTCCGGCGCGATGTAACGTTTATCCGCGACTTACGATGTGATGCGGCTTTCACGCGGCTTTCGTGGAACAGAAACAGTCCGGGACGAGCTCCCGAACTGGTCTCCCCACCCTTCGTCCAATTAATTATTTTAGCTGCACCATCCTCCACGTCGGATGCAACCTGCAGCTCGCCCTGGAGCTGTAATACACCGTCGACCATGGTCTCCTTCGATGATGCTGCTCCCCGCGAGCGCTTCATCCTCTACCCTCGCCCCATTCCCGCGTGAGTTCAGATGTCCCTTATCCACCCTTCTCCAAAAGCATGGAGCAGAGAATCCACCGCTTGATTTGCGCCGACTGACCGCCGAACAGGAATGAGGGCATCCCCTATGTGCCCAAGAAGAAGAAACCTCTTCCAGCTTTGAGAGGATGGCTTCTTGTCGCCTCCGTGTTTCTGTAAGCCAATGCATCCTCGGCTTGATCTTTACGCCTGCTTGTATCGCTGATTGTGATTATTAGGCTGGAGACGTTTGCTTTCATCAGGCGTATCGTGTGGGCCGGTGCTGGCTTCAGCTCGCTCCGGAGGATCCAGAAGCTGATTGAAGACAATGAGCCACGCCATGATCCCACCGTCATCCCTCTGGCTAGACTGGACAAGGCCCACGATTCTGAGTCTGAGACTACCGAGCAAACTGATGAAATTCATAAAGTCTCGTCTCCTCCGGCTGCACCTCACCAGAGATATAGCGTTGGTGATTATCGCGCCCTGTACCTCGCAGGGGAAATCACGCCACTTGATGTTGTCCATTCCATTCTGCCCTTCATTCGGAGGGACACGCTTCCCCCAGGTGAGCATTCCGTGGCCTGGTTCGACGTCAATGTCGACCTCGCTGTCAAGGCCGCCGAGGAATCTACCCTGAGATACAAGGAGCATCGTTCTCTTGGGCCGCTGGATGGCGTCCCCACGGCCATCAAGGATGAATTCGATCTCGAGGGCTACAAGACCACCCTGGGCTCCCTGAATGATTACACTGGCCGTATTATGAACGACGAGGGTAAAATCGATTCGTGGTGTGTGAGAAAGCTCGCCGAGGCAGGCGCCGTCATTCTCGGGAAACTATCAATGCATGAATTTGGAATGGGTATGCATCCTACCGTTGATTTCCTTTCACTTGACTCATTCTTCGTCTTTTGCTCGAGCTGACATTCGAACTCAGACACATCTGGAAACAATCCATTTTACGGAACACCACGCAATCCTTATAACCGTGACTATTACCCTGGTGGGAGTTCTTCCGGCTGCGCGTACGCCGTCTCGGTTGGTTTGATACCCATGACTCTGGGCAGCGACGGTGGCGGCAGTATCCGCATTCCCTCGTCCTTCTGCTCCGTTGTCGGCCTCAAACCGTCTCACGGCCGACTCTCGTGCTACCCAGGCCAGAACCACGCGAATACATGTGCTACGAACGGCCCAATCGCCAGCGATATTCGCTCTCTAGCCGAAGTCTACTCCGTGCTGAGCCAACCTCATCCAAGCACTGATTTCCACCCCGAATCTGAGGGCACTGGAAAGATGGTCATCGATCCTAAGCGACCCAAGGTGATTGGTATCCCCGAAGTCTGGTTCCAGAAGGCCTCGCCTGCTGTCCAGAAGCTGTGTCGAAACACAGTCGACTGGCTTGTGCAGAACAAGGGATACTCCGTTGTGTCTATCGACATCCCATTTCTCCGGGAAGGCCAAATGGCACACGCAATGACGATTCTGACCGATGGCGCGACACTGCTCCCTGATCCGCGGGGCCTTTCCGCAGCTAACCGCACTCTGCTCGCCCTGGGCAAGGTCACCCCTTCCACCGACTACCTCCTCGCTCAAAAGCTTCGCCGAACTCTCATGCAGCATCTGTCTTGGATTTGGAAGACGTACCCTGGCATGGTCATTGTGACACCCACCACGTCTTGCGCAGGATGGCCTATCCGCTCCCCGTCCGAACTCAAGTACGGCGTCAGCGATGGAGATCTCACCCTGTTGACCATGGAGTACGTGTGGCTCGCCAACTTCTGCGGCGTCCCGAGCATCAACATCCCCACCGGCTATGTCAGGCCAGAAGGAGATCCGAACGAAGGCGAGGTAGACAGCGACCTTGACTCTGTTGGAAAGGTGCCTGTTGGACTCATAGCTACAGGTGACTGGGCGAGCGAGCATGCGCTGCTGCAGTTTGGACTTGACGCTGAGGAGGCGACCAAGCATACGCAGTGCCGACCCCCCAACTGGGTGGATGTTATTGGACTGGCGAGACAAGCGAAGAGTGCTGGATTCTAGATTCTTGAGGCTGGAGGATCTTGGAAAGACAAAATGCGCAAGATAGATCTGCTGTCCCATATACTGCGCTTTATGTAGGCCTTGATGTGTATTGTAAATCTTGAACTACGTAAACTTTTGCCTGCCATATCATGGTGACTGTAATAGAAGGCTTGCTGAAGTAATTAAATGCCCCAAACTGATCAGACGTGGAAATCCTTCATCTTCTGCTAGATGTTCTGGTCTGTATTTACGACTATGGATCAATATTGCTAAGCCCATATCAACGGTTATTCATTAGAATAACCACACTAGAGAACCTTTTTTTTTTCGGTAGTTCTGAGACTCTCGGAGGTTGGAAGACGCCCCGAAATTGTCGTTGTCGCCTGAAGACATGTGACGTGGGCTGACCAGCAAAAAAAGTACCGAGGCATCAGACTCTGCCCTGCTTTCTACCCATGACCTAAACGACGTCGTCTCCTGACTCATTCTGCCAAGACTTTCTACGTCGGAGACCTCTCCAAGCAACTACAAGGCAATAGCCATAATGTTAGTATCTGACGTCGTTATCCCTACTAGCCAGGGCCCGGTCAAGGCGAATGACCAGGTCCTCGAAGATTCTTCCATGCCTCTCTCTGAGAGACGACTGTAGTAGTCTTGAGATATCAATGATGATCTGGCCAATCGCATTGAATAGGCTCTGGGTAGTATGAATATTGACGACAGATACTAACATTATTGCTATGTCTTGTTCTTGCTTGGAAAGGTGGTTGTGGTTGGTGATGAGCTTTCCCTCTTGGGGGCTATGGACGATTCATATACCTCTGGCTAGCTGGTCGTCATTAATAGAATTTTCGGGGCGCTGATGCCTATGCCCAGGATGTATGTGTTGATTTTTGACTTTTTCTGGTGTGGAAGCTTTGGGTACACGCCGTTTATGGTAAGAAAATGCTGCGATAAAAGACTGTAGTGGCAGTGGTATCCCACAAGGTGTAAAAGAAAATCGAGCAACTATGGCTAACTTCGCATTAATGATAATAAGCCTCTGTATGGAGTACGAGTGTCAAACATTGAACATTCAAGAGAGATTAGATTATCTCCCCCCGTGTTACATGCGCTTTCCCCGAAACTTGTGCTTTTTGTTTATGTTTATGACTTGAATCATGACATGCATTAGCTGGAAATTGTAATCGGCCCGTAGCCGCCACGAAAGTTTCCGATAAATGTCAAAATGCCGGCAATAATAACAGCATGCACGCGATGAAAATAATGGAAGAAGGGAACAGGCTTGCTTTTATATAATACAGCGCCCTCGCGCGAGAGTACCCGGAGAAAGTAGGCGAGATACAGGCAGATGCTTTACATCCTCTTAGACCACTATGAACATGTGAAAGGCGTCTTGACTCCTCCTGACTTGTACCCTTCAACCTGTACGAAGCACGTTAGTATTTAGGTCATGAATTAAAAGTTAGGGTTACTGTATGAGTAAACTTACAATGCTGCGAACGACGGCGTATGTACCGCCCGTAAGCAAGAAAAGCCCAATCACCAGCAGAATCAAGCTCGCACCCCCCAGAAGCAGGTTCTTGGGCGTGTTCCACTTGCCCTCGCGCAGGAGCATGAACCACATCAGGGCGGGGAAGTAGAGCGCGAAGCCCGAGTTGAGCAGGCTGGAGATGAGCGCCACGAGGTCGCTGAAGATGGGGATGACCTCGGCGATGAACCAGCCGACGATGACGATGGCGGTGATGGTGAGCATCCAGGTGATCCAGCCCCTGGTCGTGTTGACGTAGCGGGTGATGCTGTTGGCGTAGATGCGGCCGTGGATCATGCGCCCCGCCGTGACGATGAGGATGCCGCCGCTGATGAAGATGACGGGGATGGCTACGCCGAAGGCGACTCTGCTGACGGTGGTGCCGGCGGACAGGAGTGCCGGGGACTGGACTTCTTGGCCCACGAAGGCGTAGATGAGAGCTCCGGTGAGGACGTACATGGTGATCTGGATGACTCCCAGAGACCAGATGGACTTGTTGAAATCACGGGGAGTGTGCATCTCGTCCATGAAGGAGAACTGGGCGATGGTGAAACTGTACGCAAAGACGAGGTTCAGCACGGCGATGAAAGCGTCCGTGCTGGTGATGCCGGGCTTGGGCCAGAGGGACCAGTCAGATGCCGTGAGGGGGTTGGACGGGTCATGCTGGATGCCAGTGGCGATGATGGTAATGCCAATGGTGATGACAATGGATGCAAAGTCCACGTAGCCGAGGATGGCCACTTCGGCGAAGCTGGGAGGCAACGAAATGATGAACAAGGCTGCGGCAGAAGCCAGGCCGAAGTACACGCTGCACACGTCCTTGGCCGTGATGACCTTGAGTGCGGTAGTTCCCGTCAGGCAGTGCGAGCCAGCAAGGAAGAGAAGTTGCAGGATGCACATGAAGTGGAAGATCTCATATCCGACCTTTCCAAACAGGACGCGTCCGGCGTCGGCATAATCGTGGATTTCGGGGTACTTGAGCTTAGTCTGGCCGACGAGCAGGCCGGCAAAGATGGCCAAGAGACCGGAGATGATGGTAAGAATCACGCCGAGCACCATGCCCAGGGTTGCAAAGGCAGCAGGCAGGGAGAGTGTTCCAAGGGCAATGGCCGTGACCATGAGGAGGATGGTCAGTCTCTTCCAGCCCAGGCGGGTGAACTTGGCCTCGCCATCCTGGGCCTTGCGTTTCTCGAATTCGGACACCTCACCAGCCGCGGTGTCAACGTCTGGCTGGGATGTGATGGCGTCATCTTGAGCAATGGGTTGCTGCTTGGTGTTCTTGGAAGCAGTGATGGTCTCATGGGAGGAACCCATGATGGACGGTGTTCTTGATAGCTTGTATCTGCGATTGATGTCGAGAGATGATTACCTGTCCTTCTTGAAAGGAATGACAAATGCAGCAGATGCCAACTTCATGGACACAAACAACGGCCCCAGAGTGACGTGAAGGGAAACCAGAAACAAAACAAAAAACGAGGGGTAACAACACAATCGTAAGCTGGGGATAAGGTTTCGAAACCAAGAGTGAAAGAAGAGTGGCAGAGAGAGAGAACCTTAAGCATGGGGCGAGGATCTCCCCGGGGTAATAGGAAAGCAAAGAACTTTTAAAGAATGCGTCTGGAAGGGTTGGAGCGAGCGCTAGCGGCCGAAAACTGGGCCTCGAGGGAAAACATCGTACTACTTCTGAGTCGAAACATGGTCGTCTTCACCCGATATCGCTGGCTGCCCCAGGTTTCACGCCCTCTTTGGCCCGAGACCTGCTGAGATCACGATCAAATAAGCTTCTCCTCATTGTTCTCGATGGAGTCTACGAGATCCGGCATCTCTACCCCGGAATCTTGGACTAAAAGAGTTGAGTCTGGGGAAGGGTCGGTTGACGGCGGCAATTGAAGGGACAGTGAGGGTGAGGAGGAATTCCGCGAACGGAACGAAGAGCAGCTTAAACCGAAGCTCCGGTGACGGGGGAACTGAGAGAAATTTTCGTGTCGAGATATATCGTGTTAGTCAAGGAAATATCCTTTTGCGGCGTCATCAGGGATTTGTCTGGGACGGGAACAGGCCGGAAGTGGTCCCTTGGTGGAGGCCGCTAACTGGGACCGGAAGCCATCACGAACTTTGTACGTAAGAGATGCGCCTGTGAGACGTGATTTCTGGACCTAATTTCCCGTGGCCAAGGGGCGGGCCGTAGAGAATTCGTTCATTATTAATAAATGGGATGCCTGCCGCTGTGCCGAAGTCATTGGGCCGCAGGATGCCATCTCACGAGCTGCAACACCAAAGTTTGTTCATTCTCGAGCCTAGACGGAGTGGATAATGATCCAGGCTAGAATGAGTCAAGCTAGGTGAGAATGGTACAAGGCTAGGCTCTTTTGTTCAGTTGGAGCTGGTTCTCTAAGCCGCTGAGAAGCGTCAACTTTCCCACGGCATCTCTACGAGGAAAGCCGCGGTTGGTAGATTGATAGCCGAGTTACGTTACTGTCGATCAACCACTGCTTTCTTCATTGAAGACCTATGTTAACAGTGCATTGTTTCACGGCTCATGGGAAATGAGAGTAGATCAAGTAAGTATCTCTATTGTTTGAATGTTCTCTATCAACCTTGCTTGGACTGCCTTCTTACTGGCTTCAAGCTCCAATCTATCTCCCCTTGTGTCTATCAATCTAGTAAGCATCTGCCCTGTTGCCGTAGCCTTAATGTTCGGATCCGAAATTCGGTAAATTGGAACCTGGATCTTAAGGATGGGTATTCGAGACTGCCCAACTCGTCTTTGTCAAAGTCATCAATGGACATGAGACTCCTTGGTGGTCTTATAAGGCGTGCACCGCCTGTCCACTCCGGTTTGGTGTTGCGCGTTGCGCGCTTGAGACAAATGAGACTACCCGTGTAGGGTCAATGTATTGGAAGCTATCCTGCAGACTTGTGCGCTCGTGCGCCAACTGCCTTCGGCATTTAATCATGTCGGATATTCTTCTCTTTTTAATGTAAGAGAGATGGTTGAGACCCAATATCCAGCATCAATGCATTTTCAGCGACTGCGATGGGATTCTCAGGGTTTGAAGCTTGATGATTTTGATCGTGCGGTCCACGAGGTGTTTTGTTATCTTTGGATGTGTTCCCCCGGGTACTTGGAGGACGAGGCGATAGTAAAGCTCTTCACCTTGGAGCAGGTCTTGGCCATTCGCTTGCGGCAGAATTGTTCAACCTGGGCGAGGAGGTCGGCGTGTAAGCTGGCGGAGGTGAACGGGGAAGATTTGGCCATGCGGTGGGATTGACAGTCGCCATCTGAGGCTTGATCGAAGGAGACGGCGCAAACTTCTCTCCTCGATAGATAGTTGACCCATCGTCGCTTGTCTTGACGTAGCCATTATTCATGGTCCTGGGAAGTCCTCCGAAGAGAGCGGTGCGAAAGAAGACAAGGAGTAGACTGATAGCGACAATTGGTACTACAATGCCAATAATCGCTGTCTTCGGGAAGTGGGAGAATTGGCCACCGTTGTTCGTGATGTCGTCGTCGGAGATATCATCGTAACGAGGGAGAATAGCCGTGAGGATATTGTCGCTGCTGGCCATTGGGAGTGCGGATGCCAACGGCAAAGCGGTGACAGCGAAGCAGAGTGCCCAGAACATCTTGTCAAGTCTTCAGTTGATATGCGTCTGTGTGAGGAAGCTCTTGGAGATGCAATGCCACATGAACAAACACAACTCTTGGTTTGAAGAGTGCATCGGGCTTATATTGACGGTTCCTTCGCCGTATCTGGGATCTATTTTTGTCTATCAACGTTGGTGGTGAACTGGGTTGGTAATGACCAAATCCTTCGATCACACCCCAGCACGTTGCATCTGTTTCACCTTCAGACGAACGCTGGGAAACAGCCAACCAGCATCAAGCATCGCGCTCTGACCACTAATTTTAGACGAACAACCCTTGCAATCGCTCTATTCAAGACCGTCATTACCCACTGTGCCTCGCGGGTTATCGGTCAACGGCCCTTGCAGGCGGTGAAATTGCCTACAATTAGCAGTCGGGTGCGATCCCAACTAAATCCGGAGAGCCTGAGCTGTGGGAATCGGTGATGGTGATCCTACAATGTTTCATGATCAGAATATGCTTCGTCGCTTAGCGAGAGATCTTCATGGGCAAGCGAACTGCCTGTCCAATAATCACTCAAGGATTTCACACTCGCCTTCATCATCAATGTATTATTATTGGCGTGACTCGAAATTGGCGAATGCTGTGTAACGAATTTATTGGCACCAGACCTCGGTTTCCGATTAAGAGCGAAGTCTCGAGTTTAAGCTTCATCACTATAGAAAATCCAAGCATCACAAATTCGTCCATGTGAAAACCAGCCTTGGGCCCATTCTCGACACTCATACTCCCTAGAACTCTGGCACATTTCTCAGGGGATCAAAAAGACAAGCGCTGTACTAGATTCCGAAGATATGAGCATCACCTGCACTTAGCTTGAGCCAACCGTCAGACAGCAGACATCCAGATCATATGGAACCGTCAAACATTTCCATCCCCGCGATCAATGAATTGTGGCCATGATGCTTAGTTGGCCTAAGCGTTATCCTACCGATCTATCTCCGTGTATCTGGCAAACTGAGCATTCGCTTTGACAGGGAATCTCTGCGGGGCCCCTGTAACTTTTGATACCCTTGGGGGGCCTTGAGTGAAATTATTGCCATCCCCATCGGATAAACTTTATTGAACACGACCTTTTGTCAGGAATCGGCGTAAGCGTTTCTCCCTCGTCTCCCCCATCCCGAGGAACAAGAGACGCAAATATCATGGTACTGGCCAAAAGGGTAACCCCCTGACCAGGCCAATGAGGATCCTACTATTCCGGGTGACCTTCGATGCACCACCTTATTTAGCAAGCTCCGAATACTCTCGAAGGCTATCCTTCCATACTTGTGGCTCGTTGACTTTCCCTTTATCGGTGTATTATTTAGGTCACAAGCTGCTACCTATTACGCGCTTGCTTTTTATTAACGCTAGCTGCTGGCTTCCATACCTTCTTTTCCCTTTTCCTTCATCCCTTTGTAGCTTCTCAGAACTCACACGAGTTGGGTTCATTCTGTCATCCGGTTTGAGGACTTTCCATAGCTTCCGTCCATTGCCTTCCAATTCAGCGGGTCTGCTGAGCTGGGACTAGAAAGCCCTCGGGGTGCTCTACTTGAAAAACAGCTTCAGGCAGCCCTCAGGGTCATCATACTGGTTCCCATCCCTGGGACCCTGGGCAATGGCCTGAAACCTCTTCTCAATGTAGTCGTCATTGATTACAGCTGCGACCATGACCCGCTTGTTCTGATCTTCAACTTTGGTATCTGGTCGGGTGCTGTAGTAATACTTCTGTATGAGGACCATCTCGGGGAAGGGTTTGCTCTCGTCATCAAAGACCTCGTCACCATACTCCGCGTTGGCCTTCTTGTCCTCCATGTCGTATGCCTCACGGCCAAGTAAGATTTCCGGGTGGGCGTCTATGAATGCCTTGATTTCTGGGCGCTTCTCTAGAAGCTCCTTGATCTCTGGCTGCGCGAGGTACTCTGCGCGAGTGGGCGGGGTTTGGGAGCTGGCCATTGTGCTGATTGAATGTGGCCACGAGTGAGGCGAATCTAATTGCAATTTGGACAAGCCTTGGGAAAAGAAAATTGATCTCTGAGGGAAATGCCTTGTAATTTGCTCCTTGGTAATAAAGAGGGAGGGTAGAATGAGGAAACAAAAGTAACGCGTTGTCGTGTTGGTTGACCGGGACTTTTGGAACTGACTGTACCTACCCCGCTCCAACGGAGGCTGAGTGAGTGAGTGAAGTGCTTTGTCTTCCTATTTCTTGCCTGTGGACCGTCCCCAAGGTACTACGTCAGGCGAGGTGGTGTACACAAAGAAAATAAACAGGTCCCTCGAAAGCGATCGAAACTATGTTCCTATTGAGAATATAGTCTTAATTGTCTACATCGTCAACCGATCACCTAATTTAGCCAGATACGAATATCATCGAAGACTATCCTTTCAGAGTTGACTTCTCGCTCATTGGTAGTTCTTTTATCAGTTATTATTATGTTGGTCGCCGGTTGTTAATCACTACATGTTCTCATGCTTGTCAATTTTACTTTGTATTAACTGCTCTATTTTAATACCGACTCTACAGCCTAACTTTCTTAGACTATACGGCCGCTCGAGCTGCGAGTGCTGTTCCCGGGGGAACCGCTGGCTTGGCTTGTGAAACCTCCAGGTGCGTCCAAGCTGTCAATACGTCCCAACAGCAGCTCTAGTGTTCGGTATCCGGCTCCTGCAGTATACCCTGGCAACTCGTGGCCGGCCAGCTGGACTTCATAGTACGTCAGACCACGCTCCTTACCCCAGTTACCCACGATGCCGGCCTCGCTCAGCCTTCCTCCATTGTATTCCGCGTGATACGGCACCAAGAACTCCTTGTCCTGGGGATATTTCTGGAACCCCTGGAGACCGTTCCAGGTCACGTTCTGGAGTCCAAAGAGGGTTCCGTTGGGAGCGAGGAGGAAGTCGAGTCTGCCAACACCTACGATCGTGTTGTTGGTGTTGTCGATGACTCGGCCAAGAACATCGTTCTGAGCAGGGGCGAGAGAGGTGTCACTGGCGTTGGAATTGGGGTCTCCGTTACCGAAGACGTTGTTGGGCGTGCACTGGTACCAATCGACGTCGGGGGCGTTGAGAGCCTTCTTCACGTCTGTGCGGTTGAAGTAGACCTGCGCGCCTGGGGGAGAGTAGTCGCCCTGAAGGAAGTCAGAGTTAGCGTAGAACAAAAAATAAATTGGGATTAGAGATATCAATCATACCGAGTTGACGATGCCTAGCTGAGCGTAGGTGTGAGGGCAGGTATCGGTAATGTGGTAGATGTTGAAACACGGGTTTGCTTCCAACGCAGCGTAGTACGCAAGATCAAAAATGTCACAAGTGTAGTTCCCGGAGGGGTCCTGGTAAGGGTCGGGAAGACTGGGCAACGGGCCTGACGGGGGGAAGGTTGCATAGGTGTCCAGGTACGTGGAATAGTTGCAGTGTTCGTGAGTCCACCGCAGCGCATTGACGTAGGTCTGGTTGAGGTTTAGGAGGTTCTGCCAGTACTCAATGAACGGCAGGAGAACAACCTCTTGCTGGAGGGTACCATCCGCAAGAATAGGGTCGTTGATGGCAACACCCCCAAGCTTGTAGTACGTGTCATCGGCGGCTGTGATGAAGGCGTCGGCGATGTATGGGACATAGTAGCCAGCGTATGATTCACCGGTGATGTACGTGGTCGCTCCGTGGAGATCAAACGTCTCAATGAAGTTTTTCCAGAAACCAATGAACTGAAGACCAAGTTCCACTTCGTTGGTGATGTTGGGCGTTCCCTGGCTGTATCCAACGCCGACGGGCTGCTCAATCCAGATAACATTGGTACTGTTTTCGATTGTCAGTCCCTAACGCTCAAGTGAGAGAAAAGAGGTGATGGTTCTTACAGGTTGGTCCAGCTGTAAGAGTTGGGGACAGGAGCAAGAGTGCCATCCTGCCACAGGAAGGGGCCATTCTCAGTCAAAAGACCACTGAGAGAACTACAGCCTGGTCCTCCATTCAACCTGTCCAATACAAGTCAGTATGGGCAATATTATTTCAGTGATAGAGAGTGTCCTACCAAATCACAACCTCATCGTCAACTGAAGCGTTCGTGCTGGGGAAGAACCAGAAATACAACTCTCTGGTCTCATTGGCTGCCTGAGAAATGGGGAGCAGTCCGGCGTATGACTCGCCAATGTCGAACTTCACCTCTGGGATGGCGGTACCATCAACAGCGAACTTCTCAGTCTTGTTGGTGAGAAACCTTGGTTCTGCCCGAGCCTGGAAGGCTGGTTGCTCAGCTGGAATTGCGTCCCATCTCTGTTCAAATTGCTGCACGCGATTGAACGCTCGGAGAGCTCCCTGGTTGAAGGCCGCCTGGGAAAAGCCCCCAAAGGCCAAAACAGCCCCTATCAAGCTATAGCGCATCGTGAGGGAGGTGGAGAGAGAGGTTGGAGAAGAGTGAGGCTGATGATGCTCAAGTAGAGATGGGCGTCATCGGGCTATTTATGCGGATAGCAGGCGACATGGCCCTGTATCATTCTGTATAACCCAGTAATCGCTAACTATGTCTCATCAGGGAATTGAGATGATAAGCGGTGGCGCACAAATCACAAATGTTCGCGGATTGGGTGATGAACGAGACCTTTTGCAAGCTTGCCCTGCGCCGGGGCCAGAATTCGGTAACAACGGCATTTGCGATGGGAGTACAAGGCCTACCGATGTTACAGGAGCTTCCAAAAGAGGCTTCCACCAACAAAAGTCCTGGGTTAGCCCAGCTGGAAGTGCCGATTGCACGCCCGCGGTGGCCAAGCGTTCCGATCTACCCGGGTGAGATGGGGATGTTTGCCATCCGCCGGGGTATAAGAACCTCCAGTCCTCGTCAGATCACCCCACAGGAGTGGGTGAACCCTGCTGTCTGAAAGAGCGATTGTCATTGCTCGTCATTGCAAGGACAGAGCGGGATTAGTGCAACGTTTCGGAGGAATAAGTGGCAGATCCTTTCCTCATCCTGTCACCACAACAAAAGGCCGTCACGCACACGACTCAA